GTTTGGCTGATCCAGACTGGGCTTGACCGAGGCAGTTTTGCTTCTCACTGCAGGTCTGGGGTCAGTTGGGAGTCAGCTCACCCAGGCTGGACTCTGCTCCTCACATCTTATCCTCAGATGAGGGCACTAGTCAGGGCATGTCTCCTTTTGGCAATGTTAGGAGCACAGAGAGCCAGCAGAAACATATGAGGCCTCTGAGGCCCGGTCTTAGAACTGGCACACTGCCACTTCCTCCCACGTGCCATTGGCCAAAGCAAGTTGTATGGCCAAGCAACACCAAGAGCATGGAAACAAATTCCTCCCCTGGCATGGGTATGGATGCAGGGAGGAGTGAAGAATTGGGACCAAAACTCAATCTGGCCCCCTCTCCAAAGGCCAATAGCCTCATGCAATCAGACTTTAATAAAAGGACTAAGGAAGAGATGGGTGATGGTGGTCATTGTCACAATCCATCATGGATCTTTTCCCTAGCTGAGAATGAATTAATGTTCTTAATAATGAATTAGCAATGTTCTTCCAGTGTGTGGTGTGGGTCCAGCTTTGTGCTGAGTGCTTTGGGGGACATCAGAGAGAAAAGCCCTAATTCTACCATCAGGAACTTACTATCCTTTATGGGATAAGCTTTTTGTTCAAAGACAAGATTGGGGCTAAATGATGCTCAATTGTGAATGTAGGCTGTGGAGTTCAGAGAAATGAGAGACCAGCAAAGGCTAGAAAAGAATGAGGTAGAAGGAAAGGAACAATACTAACATTTAACACCTAGTGAGCACGTGCTGCGTGCCAGACACTGTGCCAAATTCTTTCCATACCTTACTTCCTCTCTTGATCATCCAGAGAGGTACCAGGATTGTCCCCATTTAACAGATAAAGAAACAGAGGCATAAAGAACTCAAGTAACTTGTGTGTGGTCACACAGCCGGTAAATACTAGAACCAGGATTTGAGTCCAGCTCCTCGCACCACCAGAGCCTGAGCGTTGATCATCAGGGCCCATGGCTGGCCACCCAAGGGGAAGGGGAATCAAAGGCAGACAGATGTGCGGAGAGGACAGCTGCCGGGGGTGGGAGCTGTGGAGGGGACCCCAGTCATGTTATGAACTATAAATGGGAGCAAAGATAGGATGTGCGATTTGGCCGAGGTCCTGCAGCAAGATAGGGTGCAGGCTGGGCTGGGAATTCTGGCTGTTGGCTCTCCTTCTACATTCCCTGGTCCCAGCCGCTTTCTGGGCTCTCTCCACCCGCCACGCGGCCACGCCTGAAGTGTCTCCTTGGAAGAGGTGCAATCCACTGGCATTGAAGCCGGCGGACTGGCTCCCTCTCTCTATTCATCTCTTTCCTCCTTTCCTCTGCCATGTTCTGGAAAGGGCAGCATGAGGGAATGTGGGCAGGTTGCACCAGAGATATACATCTGAGAACTGAAGGAACATTTATTTTTAATTTAGACTTAAAAAGAAAAAAGGAAATTATAAAATATCTGCTCTTGCTCCTGGGATTGTGCAGATGGTGCTGCGTGTTGCCTAATAGGGAATGGGGCTGGCACTGCGTGCTCGTGGCCCCACCAGCCTGACTGTAGGACCTGGAAGGCAGGATCCTTGTTCCTCTTGCCTCAGCCTCAGATGGCTCCCTGGGACCCCGTTTGGCCAATGTGGCATGGTGGTCTGCTGCCTTCTCACCTTACCACCCCCCCGGACGCCCGTCTGCTGATTTCCTGAACATCCTCCTTCAATGAAGCCAGCCTCTCAGCTGTTCCTACTCGCATGAACACACACATGCACACCTCAGCTCCATCCTGTCACCCCCTTTGGCGGATAGCCAGACCTCTCCCTTCCTGAACTCCTGCTTGGATGTTAGAATTTATCAGTTTGACACACATCCAGATACCTGTTTAAACCATCTTGTCATTTTCATGCCCAGGAGTTATAAAGGACATTCTCATACATTTTCCTGTTTGGTCCTTGTGTTTATTGTGGTTAGATGCTATATATTCCTCTCTTCTGGTAATCTCCACTGGGAGCGGTATGGGACTCAGTGCATAGAAGATACTTGAAAAGGGGCATAGAATGTGACTCTTCTTTGGTATTCAGGCGGGTATTCTGGAGAAGGAGCCCCTAAAATCAGAGAGTTGGGGCCCCCAAGCCAGGAATCAGGAGACCTGACTCTTTCTCTAGCTTGCTTTAAAGCCTTGGGCAGATCACTGAATTTCTCTAAGTCTCTGTTGCCCCATTTGCAAAATATAGAAAGTAGTCTCTATTTTGTCTGAGCCCCAGAGTTATTTTTTATTTTTTTTAGGGCATTATCATTTCTTTTTTTTTTTTTTAACATCTTCATTGGAGTATAATTGCTTTACAATGGTGTGTTAGTTTCTGCTTTATAACAAAGTGAATCAGCCCTGGAGTTATAATAAGGATCATGGCAAATGACATAAGGAGAAGTGCTTAGCAAAATCAATCAATCAATTCATCTCTTTAAGAAAGCATGCGGAGTCAGAGGTGCCCAGCATGGACATCAGGCCCGTGTATGGGCAGAAGTTAGGGACAGGAGGCTGGTCAGGTTGGCTAGCATGGTGAAAAACTCACTGGTTACACTTTGTGTGTGTGTGTATTGCATAGCCTGGGTATTAGTTTGGTTTAGTTTAGGGCTACGATTTGTTCTGAAAAAAACTTAATATCACATAAAAAAATGCATGCCACAAGAAAAAACAAGTAAGATGACCTGGCCTGGGCATCTTGACAGTCAGTGCAAAGAGGGACACAGTTGAATGCCCAGTGTTTGCAAGACAGATGCAAACCAGATGTTCAGAAGTATAAATTTCTGATCCTGAGATCAGAAAAGTTTCCTCCACGTGGATTCATAATGGGGTCCAACGTAATGAGCAGTGAGTGTCCTGGACAACAGCTGAAGGGTAAATACGAGTCCCATGGGCCACATCTTATGACGGTCCTGGTGAGCCAAGCACAGTTCAGGGGGTGCAAAGGGGATTGAGGGGGAGAATACAATGTAGTTCATAACACACCAGTTTTATATAAACGAATGGATTAGGGGGAATGATGTGCTGAGTTCCCAACAGTGGAAAACAGCTTTTATATCCTCAGGCTTTGTGAGGCAGTCAGACATGCACATGTTTATACATACATCCACATGCATGCGAATGCACAAACACAAATTCACACACACACACTCGCGGGCTCATGCTGTCTGTTCCCAGCTTTAGGCCTCTCTAGGCTCAGCTTCCTGTCTGTGGTCTGGCTCCTGACTGGGGTGCTAGGATGAGGCCCTGGGTCCCCTGGGGTTACTTCTTGGCAGGACTGGTGGGAAAATTCCCTTTAAAGACGATGGGACCATCTGTATTGACTTCACACCTACTACCTGGAACCTGAGAATAGAATTTAAACTGAGACAGGACCTCCAAGGTCAACCTGTTCACTCTATAGGGGAGAAAGCTAGAACCCCAAAGGGGCATGTCTTCTGCTGGAGATCACACAGGGATGGAGCCTAGGCTAAGACCCAAGGTCTCCTGACTCTCACTCCAGCACTCTAAGCTGTCATTGCAAAGAAAAATCAAGTTGGGATCTTATTTTGGGGAGAAAAATATCATAAGGTAATTCTTCATTGGACTATGGAATTAATTTACATTATGTAATTTTATTCAAACTGATATGGGCCAATAAATATAACTGTGTGTGCGTGTTTGCTGTTTTAAAACATTTTAATGTTTAAAACATGATTTACTAATGCTGCTAAGGATGTCTAGAATTTGATTTACTGCATAGAATTAAATGTTTACACATTCCTTACAGAAATTCTTGCCAAAGAGCCATTTTATCTACAAGAATAATAAATAAGTCAATATGTGGATGGCTATGCACATTTTTTCCATATACAGCAGCACTTGGTAGATGTTATTTTGCACACAAGCCCTCAAAAGGTAAATCTGAGAGACACACTTGGATCCCCGAAGTCTAAGATTTGGTCAATGTCAAGATCAGGCAATTAATCTTGACTTAAACCAAAAAAAACAAAGTCACTGAGTCTAGGTCTTAGGTGATATTTGGGCTTTGGGACTAATGGGTCCACACTTATGTAACCAGACTTGGTCATATGTGTGTATTTGTTCATTCATTTGCACATTCAACAAATACTTATCAGATATCTATGTTTCATTCAACAGCTTAAACATAGTGTAGGTGTTGCTTCATGGTGGCCCAGAGATAATATATAAATTTCCCTACTTGTCTTTGTAAAGCACTTAAGGCCTTTGAAATGATTCTTATTGAATTCTCACAAAAATCCTATTGGAGGCCTTCCCTGGTGGCGCAGTGGTTGAGAGTCCACCTGCCAATGGGACATGGGTTTGTGCTCCGGTCCGGGAAGATCCCATGTGCCGCGGAGCGGCTGGGCCTGTGAGCCATGGCCTCTGAGCCTGCGCATCCGGAGCCTGTGCTCCGCAATGGAAGAGGCCACAACAGTGAGAAGCCCACGAACACCCCCCCCCCCCAAAAAAAAAATCCTATTGGATGGCTAGGGTGTGAAGGAGCCAGGTTAGCTGGGTGGAAGTAAAGGCGTTCCTTTTGTTTGCTGGTTTGTTTTTATTGTTGCCCTGCCCACCAATTACAAAAATATGCATGTCCACCGTTAAAAAGAACACAGAAATATTCAAGAAGAATGTGAGAATGTACCATGTAACCCGACCTCCAGGGACGTCTACCTGCTGTGCTACAGATTTTTTCATGCCTGAAGATATGTGTATGTATGTGTATTTGTGGATATATCTGGTGAGATTTTTTTGTTCTTTATAAAAATCGGATTATGTTGTCATATAATTCTGCAACCAAGTTTTTTCATCGTACATCATCTCACTGTGGGCAGTAGTTTGAATATACTTAACATATATATCAGTTTGTACAGATCCAGCTCACTTTTGTTCATGGCTGTGTCATTTTTCTTTGCAAAAGCATAGGGCGTTTTTCTGCCTTCTTCAGCCTTTTCTCTCTCTCTCTCATAGGTGGTTGGTCTTCTCTTGCCCAATCAGACATTGGCGTCCACTGTCTTCTGGCAGGTAACAGTTTCCCTGCAAGCAGAGGGCTCCTGAAGGGGGCACCCAACAAGTGCAGGTTGGAACACCCTGTCCCAGTGTCTCCTCTCCATCCAGGCCCCTCGGGGAAAGTCACCCCACTTCCTACTCCTCCCTAACCCAGAAGCCACTGGGAGAAACCCCAGGACTTTGGGCCCGCAGCCCAAGTCTTGGGCCATTATAGGTGCTCTGACTTTTGCACAGAGGTGATGAGGGCTGGTGTGTGCCCTCACCTGGATGCTTGTCCCATGGCCAGTGACCTTGAGCCCTACAGCCTCATTTTGACATCAGCCTTACCCAAATCTGTGGGGAAGGTAATCCACCCCCAACTCCAAGGTAGTGAGGTGGGTGAAAAAGCATCATGGACCCTGGTCTCTGCCCTTGGAGACAGTCTGGGGTGTGGCTCTCTGGAAACAGTAGAAGCTCAGTATGTATCTGTGTAGAGAGAGAGGGGCAGGAAGAAAAACCTTTTTGTCTTCAGGAGAAAATGTCAGACCTCCTGAAAAAAGAAAAGCTCCTAATAATGTCTGTGTCTGGGCTCTGCGGGTGGTGTAGGGCACTGAGCCTCAGAGCTGTCGGGCATTCCAGGGGCTTAAGTGTCCACCTTCTGTCCAGTCATTAGTATAAAAAGGGTGATGTGGCAAAGGCAGTGGGGCCCATTTGGGGCAGTGAACACCAGAATTTTGGGAGAGGTGGCCATCTCTGGACTGAGATGGATAGCTGGCCTGGGTGGGACCAGTGTCTTGGTTTGCCAGGAACTGAGGGGTTTCCCAGGACCGGGGCCTTTCAGTGCTAAAACTGCACCGTCCTGGTGAACCAGGATGGTTGCTCACGCTAACTCAGGGGATGGATGGAACTACCGTGAGCTAGACACCCGTGTCTTTCTGGAGGGGTGTGGCCTCCCAGGTCCAGGCCTGCTTCCAGGGAGGTGACCACACCTTTCCTGACTTCTCCTCTCCCCCCATTGCCTTTCAGTGGCTGAACCAGAGCCACAACGCTTGTGTCAACTATGCAAACCGGAACGCTACGAAGGTGAGCATCGCAGACCACCACCTGGTGTCAGGCTTCAGGCTGGGGTGACCCTCTCCCTCCCTACAGTGTGGCCTGCCACCATCAGGGCTTCTCCTCTGGGTTTTACTGCCAGGCCTTCAGGAGGGGCCCTGCTGGGGAGGGGCTGCTCACGTGGAGGGCCAAAGGCCCAGAATGTGGGAGTGTGGCGCGCGCGGCCAAAGGGATGAGCTCCGCTGGCTTCAGAATTCCCCTTGGGCAGCGCTTATACCCAGATCTTGGATCAGGACAGCATCAGCCACGTGGGGACTGACTTCCTCTAAACTTCCTCCAAACTTGCCTGGAAGTTGCCTCAGTGCCCCAGGATTGTCAGCTGCAAAGCCAAAGGGCTGCTCTTGAGGGTGAGGGGTCTGAGAGGACTGGCACGTCCTCCCCAGAGTCCCCTGCATTCCTGGGACGAGATCACAGTGGAGGTCCAGCCACCCTTCTCTTGTCTAGGAAGGGGCTGGGCGCCTGCTTCGCTGGCAAGGCTGCCTTTCCTCTTGGTCCATTCTCCCACATTTCCAACCAAAGGCAGCAGGGGAGAGGAATCTAGGTCCCCTTGGGGGGCTGTCAGTTTGGGGAGGAGAGGGTCTGGACATTTATAACTTTGGTGGGTGGGGAGTGATAGGGGAGTTATGAGCTGTCCTGGATGGTAGGAACTTCAGGGCCTGATACTCTGAGGACCTTCCCGCTCCTCCCATCTAAACCTTCGACCCATGCCTTGCTCATATGCTTCGCACACAGACATCTCTGCTTAGATGGCTCCCATTCACCTTAAACCAAATATCTCCAGAATTGCTGTCGTAGTTCCTCAGCTCTTCCTTAATTGTTTGTGTTGCAACTTGGGATCCATTTTCCCGTAGAAATATTTAGCAACTGTCTCCTACTGGCCTGGAAGCCCTGCTTGGCTGACCAGGCCTGTGAGAGCCAGCCAGGCAGTGGCCACCTTGACACTGCCATGTCCCCCGAGAAAATGCTCTGGGTGCCAAACAGCCCACTTGCAACATTTAGCCTTCCTAAACTGCTTATCCCAGCCATAAACGCTAAGGGAGGCCTGGATCCCTTTGGCTTCCAGAGGCCTTCCTCCTTGCCTGCCCCTCCAGGTTCGGGGGCAGGATTTCCTCTTGCTGGTTGGGGCCATTTGCACGGGTGGAGGGTGGGAGCTTGGGACACCCAGGGGACCTGAACTTCTGTCTCTGTCTTCCAGCCTTCACCTGCATCCAAGTTCATCCAGGGCTACCTGGGAGCTGTCATCAGTGCCGTCTCCATCGCTGTGAGTAACCCCACACTCCCCGCCCCCTGGGCGTCCTGTCCATCCTGCTGCTCTGTGACTGCCCCACCCAGCATCTCAGGCCAGACCTTATCTGAGGGTCAGGGCTGGGCAAGGGGCATGGGAGACAGGGTTTCTGGGTGGGGACCATCAGGGCCGTCTTCCTAGGCAGAGAAGAGTAGACCCTGGTGACGCTTTCATAGAGGGGGAGCACAGGCCAGTGCTCCAGGTTTGGGAGAGCAGGCGGGGAGGTGAGGCAGTTCCTGTGGGCCACGCGAAGGGCTGCACACTCCAGCCGGGGGCAGGATGTCTGCCCTAGAGGGGCCCGTGTTTACCCAGCACCCTCCTCAGAGGAGTTGGTCTTCATGAAGCCGATGCAGGAGTGGAGGGGCTTTTGATCCATCCCCAAGGTTGGCCCAAATGTCAGCTCCCCTTTGCCCTTTGTCTGAGTTCCCTGGGTCCCCTCTTGGTGGCCTCAGTCATGTGGTCACAGGTCTAAGCCTTCCTGGAGTCCTGTGAATTCCTCAAGACAGGGGCAATAGGCTCATTTTGAATCCCACAGGGTTTTGAGAATATAGCAGCTACTAAGTAGGGGAGGTTTATAGACTGACTGTGTGAGGGTATAAGGATGTATCCCAGGTGACACAGCAAGGGGCCTGGGCCAGAGTCAGAATAGAAGCCCAAGCTCCCGAGACCTTGGCATGTTCATCCCACCCTGTACCTCCATCTGGTCCTCTCTCCATCCTGGCTGGGTGGTCTCCTATAGCCCACTGCAGAGGTCAAAAGTCGCCTCACAACTTCATTACACGATAAATACATGTAATTGGTAAGAAAAGTAATTAGGAAATACAAATTAAAAAAAATTCACATATAATAAAAAACTCACATCTAATAATCTTTTTGTAAAACCCACTTTCTCATCTTTCCCATGTCATTAAATAAATGTTGTAGTTGTTCACGCCTGTGTACTAACCCACTGTACCTACTGTGTACCATCATTTATTTCACTGCTCTCCTAAGACAGGGATTTGGGGCTGTTCTGAGATGGCCTCGTTTACTCTGCTCCCATGTGGACCAGGTTCACCTCCAAACAGCTGTTAGGTGTGGGGGGGTCCCCACTTCATGCCCAAGATCACTCTCCTTCCCTGAATCCTTATGTCTTACCCCAAGCATGAAGCCAGAATTACCGAATCTATTTAGATCGCTCATCAAGAGACTGCTGGGCTTCCCTGGTGACTCAGTGGTTGGGAGTCCGCCTGCCGACGCAGGAGACACGGGTTCGTGTCCCGGTCCGGGAGGATCCCACATGCCGCGGAGCGGCTGGGCCCGTGAGCCATGGCCGCTGCGCCTGCGCGTCCGGAGCCTGTGCTCCACAACGGGGGAGGCCACAACAGTGAGAGGCCCACGTACCACAAAAAAAAAAAAAGAGAGAGAGACTGGTAACCCCACCCTGGTGGTTCTGCAACCCAGCATGAGACTTCATTTGAGGGTCATACAAACTGGGGATCTCTGATTCTGGGGGATTGCTGGCCAGCGTCAGGGGCTCTTGTGAGAGAGGAGAAAGGCTCTGTCGCCTCCTTCCTGCTCCTTATGGCAAGAGGAGCCCATCACTTTTCCTAGTTTAGCAGCTTGAAAATCCCATGTTCCTTCTTTGATATTTAAGGGACCATGTAGAGGAGCTGGGAGGGGGAAGGCCCACGGGGAGAATCCGAGCGGCCTTGGCTCGGACGGGCTTGAGTGGAGGGGATGACTGTCCTGCTGGGACTCGTCCTCCTACAGGCCTGGGGCTGCGGGGACACGGCTTCCTCCCAGGGCTCCGGGCTCTCTGGGTCCGCAGTCCTCACCGTCCCACCCTTGAGGTCCTCAGTCATTCCATCCCAACTGCTTCATAAGGCCAGAACCAGCCCAGATTGTGGGTTGGGGGTTCTGATGCCCAAGCTGCAGAGTTACTGGGGGCTGGGGGCCCTCCAGGGCTCTCAGAGCTACGGTCTTACCCGCAGGGACGGGGACTCACGCTGGGCTGTCATGGCCCCCAGAGGGTGTGTTTTGCTGGGGACACCCTCCTTCCCCTTCCCCACCTAGCTGCGGAGCCCTTCCAGGAGGTGTTTCCCCAACCATGCCAGCCCCAAGTCTTAGAAGCTTCTGTCCTTCTCATGCACTCACTCAGTTATGCCCCATGTCCTGTCCACTCATTGTTCTACTGGATTTCAAGTTAACCAGGGACAGGCCCTGTGTCTTCTCCCCCACGGAGGAGGGTGGGGAGCAGTGCTCCATAAATACTTGTTAATTAGGTTGCTGATCAATTGCTGGCCTCAGGAGGCCCCTCTGTGCTCCATCCGCCAGGGGCTGCATCCCTCTGCCTGACGTCTGCGCACAGTAAGGGTCTAACTCCGGCAGATGGAGTGGAGTTTCTGACTTGGAAAATTTGCAGCTTGCTTGCTTTTCTTTTGTGTGTGTAAATCACAAAACCTCCAAAGAAAAAGGCTTTATTTTATTTTCCTTTCCCTTGTTCTCTGGAAGCCCAGGCCCTGCGGCCTCATTAACTGATCTCTGCTTCAGTTAGTGACAAATCCCCCCCCAGGGTGAGCCTGTTAGGAGGAGATGACCTGCAAACAAGTGTCACGGCCCCAGTGGTTGGCCCAGTTCTGGTATTAATTAAAATGAGTCCCTACAAGCAGGTGGCGTGGATGGGGGCTGACAGGCCAAGGGCAGATCCCAGGGATTGAGGACCCGCTGGAGTAGAGGCCAGGCCCTGGGAGTCCAGCCTCCTCTCCGGACCCAGGAGAGCCCTTTCCCCTCTCAAAAGAGCCCCTGACCTTGGGCAGCAGCCCCAAGAGTCAGGGATCCCTAGTGTGCATCCCTAACTGCAGTCTCATGCTGGTGGCAGGGCCACCGGCAGGGGGTTAGCAGCCTTTTGGTGAACCCTCTAAATAGATCTGGCAATGTCTGGTTTCTTGCTCGGGAATAAAAAAGAAATTTCGCCTTAAGTTATTTTTGAAATCTAGCAGTTTGCTGTCTTTTAACAAAGGAAGTTCTGTCAGCGCTTGCTGTGCTTTAGTTCGGGCTTTTGTGTTGAGCACTTCTGTGGTCAACCCCGCTGAGCCCTGACTACCAGAGGGAGACCCATTCTCTCCCTTCAGGGGTGCAACTGTGTCGGGCTCTTTGCAGGTGCCGGGGGGGGTCGCACAGACTGGTGTGTCCTTCAAGATGCCGAGAGGGGAAGCTGAGGAAACCCTGTGGTGTCACCAGAATTATGATAAGGTGACTTGGGTGAGGGGTACTCAGGGGAGCATTCCCTAAGTCACACAGGGCTGACTCTTAGAAGACAGACTGGAGAGAAGCGAAGGCAGGGTCAGGTGCTCCAGAAAGAGGGCACAGCACACAAAGAGGCATGCAGGAGGGGAGCATGACGGATTCCGGAAGCTGTCAGAAAGTGAGTGTGGCTGCCGTACCAGGAGTGATGGCGACTGGGTGACGCGGAAGTGGGAGGGGGTGGGGTAGTGGGGGCTGGTCATAAGTCATCACGGGTGCCTTGTCAGGAGCTAGGAGAGCCATGCCAGGAACGCCTGCCTGGGCTCAGGGACCCCGGGGTGCTGCAGGAGGTACAGGCAAAGAGGGCTGGGGGGAAAGTTGTGGGGGGGTGGCTGGCCCAGCAGATGGACCACCCTTGTGGACACGGGGTCCTGGATGAGAGTGGACTTGGGGCTGGAGAGGAAGGCTCAGGGCTAAAGTCCCACATGAACGGTCAGGAGCTGGATGGTGGAGCCAGAGTATGAGAGTCGCATCCTCAGACGCTTCACCTTCAGCCAGGTCCACGCTGGTCGAAGACTTGCCCTGTTGGAGAAATGCTGACCTCTATTCCTAAAGGGCTTGCACCCTGGAGGGTCCTTTCTGTACAGGATGCAGTGACTGTGTGTTACCCTAGACAGCAGGGCACAAGGAGGTATCCCAGGGGATCCCTGGGCTGAACCCCTCCCCCTCCCAGCTCCCATTGCTTACTGGAGCTCCATGTCCCTGTGATAGTCAGGCTGGCAAGTAATCATAATGGCTAACACTTGTGGAGTGCCTACAATGTGCCAGGCACCGTTTAGATGTCCATCTCCTAAGGCACACCCTGAGCTACACCCTCAAGCACAGAGTGAGCCAGGTGCAGTCTTGCAGAAAGCCCAGGAACCAAGTACGAAGGTGGGTGGAAGTGCAACCCCTCGTTACTCTTAAAGGGCCTCTCAAAAATGTTCTCCCAGTCCCCACTGTTCTCAGGGTACCTGGGAGGGACTTGTTTACCAGAGCGCATGGTAGTTCCTCCAGCTGGAAGCCAAGAGCACTGCTTGGCTTTTCCCGCCTTCTCACGCCACAGGGGAGCAGGAAGAAAAATGTGTCCTTTGTCAGCAGAATAGTGTCTGATTAAGCCAGCTCTGTCACTGACTTCACCTCTGTGCCTCAGCATCCTCATTGGTGTCCTCACCTGGTGTCTTCTGTGGTCCATGGTGTAGCTCATGGTGCCTCCGTGGTCCAGGGTGTAGCTCAGGCCCAGCTATTCTTCTCTGAGCCTGATGGAGGTAGGAGGTCAACAGCCTGAGAATCCAGACCAGACTGTTGTCTCACTGCTTTCACTCTGTGGGGCTTCCAGGTTGGAGGGCCCATGGTATGGACCCTGTATCAGAATCTGAACTGTTCCAAAAGCCTGCAGATAGTGATGCTGGCAGTGGCAAGTCTGATGCAAATATCGGCTTCACATCTATTCTGGGGAGGACAAGTTGTTGATGGAAGGGGTCTGATGTAATTGGCTTTCTAGCAGGTAGCCAGCAGGTTCCTATGGGGAATGGTTCAGGGGTCAGTGTTGGTCACTATTGCTAGCAGAGAAGACACACAGCTGCAGCTGGAGCTGAGTGGTGTATGAACCTGTGCATAACTCTGTCCTGGCTGCCTTGGCCCTTTGCTCTTGAACCAGTTGCCAAGTGAGTCTGGTTGGGGTTGCAGGACTGTTGGCCTCCATAGAGGGT